AATAAATAAACAATTTGTATGAAATTGAAGAATAATGTTCTCTTATTCAAGAATATTGTTAAATAAAATAAACAAATTTTTGATTATAAAATAGTTATTGTAATGTATCTTTTTCATATTATAGTTTATTTCTTTATTATTTTTGTATATTAATATTCTCATTTTAAACTAAAAAATAATATTCATTGGGATTTGATGTTTAGTATATTAAAATGAGTGGATTCAATACTTAGATGAATGAGAACAAATGAACAGAAAAAAGAATTTTATTTTATTGTACTATTAGAGAACATTTATAACTTATATAAACACTCAAAAACTACTATTCATATTTATTTATTTAATAAACCAATAGATTATTGTGATGTTCTAATGTTTATTTTGATGTTATTTATTTTATGATTAAAAAGAATATTTAACTATTTTAAATAAAGATGTATTTATTAATTGCAATAAAGAAGAACTTAGTTTAATATATATATTAATAATTCTTATCTTATCAACATTTAGATGATGAAATAGATATTTGTTGATAAAATGAAATCATAACCACATTTCTATTTACATAATCTAAATCATGTATCATCATTTTATAGTTCAATTGTTGTTATAACAACATATATGTGTAATAAATTATAAGAAATAACTTAAATATGATAATATCAAGAATAATATTCAAAGTAATCTAAAGAAGAATATTCAAATAAGTATAATAAATCGTTATTCTTATTTATAACAAAATTAACACAATCACTGGATTACTGATACTTTGTTTATAATATGAAATAATGATTTGTCAAATATTTGATTTAAATAGATATTTCTATAAAAAAGTTATATTTATTTTGTTCAGTAAATGTTTATATTCATAGATTTCTTATTTTTTAATTCTTTTTTAAAATAAGATAATCAACGATATTAGAAGAAGATAATGTGAGCATGTTGGAAATGAATTCTATAATATAGAGGGTCTTGAAGAAACTGAAGTAATAACTCCTCGATAACCATAAAATCTAATTATGAATATATCTTTAATTGATTTTTTTAAGATAATTAACGGCATACTTAATACAATTATATTGAATAAACTGTGTAACAGAAGAATAGTCAAGAGTTGATAGAAATATGGACGAACAAAAAAAAATAAACGTTTTAGTCGTGAATAAATAATATTATCAAAAAATTGTTTTCAAAACAAATAAGAAAGGATTGTGTCCCTAAAAGTCTTTAATTAGTTTAATTTCTTTTTTGTTAATACTTTCTACTTCTATCACTCAACCACATTTCCGTGCTACTTTTGGCCTGTCCTTACTTGTTGAATCTGAAGAGAGACGTGATGATGTCTTAGAAAAAAAAAGTGAGAAAAGAGAAGAATTTGACTATTAAAGGGTTGAACTTAAAAATATATTAACAAGATCATGCAAGTGGAAGAAGCTGGCATTATAGATAAAATCAATCAAGAAACACAACTATTAAATGAAGAAGTAAAAAGACTCATGGCAAGTTATCAAAATGAAAAACAACAATGTGATGAATTACAAAAGAGTTGTTTGTTTTTTTATTTTTCATGTTATATAAAACAAATAATTAATTCAAAGATGACAATCAGTTACAAGAAATTCAACGAATTAAAGATGCTATTTCAGAATTTGAACGTAATCACGCACAGGTTGAAGAAAAAATTAGGAACGCAGAAGCTGAGATATCTCAGTTACATGCTCGTATGGATAATAAGTGATTGTGAAAAATAAATGAAAAGTTTTTGGGTTTAAAGTAAAGAAATAAATTGAAGATGCAAAAATTAATAATAAAATTATAGTTTTTTTTTTAATTTAGGATTTTTTTATTTTAGCAGAACTCTTGTTTAATTTAATGGAAGAAGAAACCATTCAACACAAAGACGAAATATGGGGTTTAGTCTCAAAATATATTGATGAGATTGTTACATATTCTATAAGAAATGAATTAAACAAATTTACAGATAATTTACTTGAAATTCAATTGAATTTTTACAAGACTCAAAATAAATTAAATGTGAGTGCCTTTGTGAATTCATTAATTTTATTTCTATTAGAACTAAGTCATTGTGGTTCTCAAACAAACACAAGCCTTATTCCCAGAAGAACTTGTTCTGATCTTATTGAAAATAAAGAGATTTCTCAAGCCTTATCTCAATGGTGTGATGATTTTATTGGATTTTTTACTATTAACTTATCTATTCAACCAACGCTATTGAATTATATTACCTCATTAGTATTTCTTATTAATAATTTCGTATTTCATCATCAAACTTATACTGATGAAGTAGTTTTTGAATTGTGTCAGACCAAATCACAGCTTAAAACATTATTTGAAAAACAACCATCACAAGCATCAATCTTTAACCAAAATTTAAAACAACCAACACCTTCGTTAGATGAGTCTACAGAAAGTGAGTCTCCGTTTATTGTTCCTGAAAAAGTATTTTCTATCTTACATAGTAATAAATCGTATAAACATAATGAAAGTAAAGAAGAAAAGAAAGGACCAGAAACGATTGATTTATTTGAAGATAAAGAACCTGCTAATACTAATACCAAAGAAGTTAAAGTGTTAAATAATACAGAAAAAATTGAAACACCTAAACTTGTTAATAGATTTAGTTTCTTTAGTATCTTTAAAGAAAAAGAATCTGAAGAAGATTTAATTAATGAAGAAACCTCTTTGGTTCAACTGAAATCACAAAGTGATAAAGATTTAAAGAAGTTATCTATTTCCCAACGAAATCATTTCAATTTTAATTTCATTAAGAATAGTAGAAGGAATTTATTGGCGGAAACTTCACTAAGGAGTAATGGAGTTTCTCCAATGGAAGTTCTTGATAATAAAGAAGAAAGTGATAGAGAACTTCAAATAGAAAATGAAACAAAAATTCCTTCATCAAAGAAGGAAGAAAAGGAAGTTAATAAACCTAAAGAATTAACAAGTAGTAAGAAAGGTTCATATCAAACACTTCAAAATATTATTAATGGTTACAAAAAACAAAAGGATAAAAAAGAATTAAGGAAGGTTGATCAAAATAATAAAGAGAATGAAAACATTGAGTTTAAATTTTTAATGA